ACCTTTAGCTCCTTTCCTCCCATTTCTAAATGTCAGTAATCTTATTAGAATCTTATATTTTGTTGCAGAATATTCACACCAGGGAAACTATTTGGTATTTACACATGTGGGACTTATTTATTTCACTTAGGAGTATATCTTCAATATGTATCCACTTCTACACAGTTTTGATTCACTGGGGAGGGAGTGTTTCGATGGCTTTAGGGAATTATATTTCCTCTTCTTACCAATTGAAGTCGATAGTAATCATGTGATTTCATAAATCGGCAAGAAAAATTATGAATGCCAAATAATTTTAAGGATTAAAATTGTTTTTTATTTGAAATTCAGCTCATGTAGAGATTATTCCTATAAAAAAGCCTTGATGGTGAGAGGGAAAGGGTTCTTTGGACTAAATTTTGTTTTCCTACTATAGAATATGTCATCACGTATTTTAAGGAGAAAAATGTGTTTCCTCCCCTCAAATCTGCCTTGGGGCATTTGATAAGGTTTAAAAAATATGGGCACAAAAGTCAAACTTGAATCAGTTCGTCAGATTTTATCTATGCGTGGTTTTGTTGTGACAGAGGCTCATTTCTTCCAGGATAGTAATAATACCCAGTTATTTTTCCATAATATTATCTTTAGGGTAGTGTGTGGAGTTCAGATTAGCTATTTGGTCCCATAAAGAGAGAGAGAGAGAGAGAGAGAGAGAGAGAGAGAGAGAGAGAGAGAGAGAAATTGCCAGATTTAAATGACTGTGGAAACACCATAGTTTATATAAATGCAGTTGTCACTTAATAGATGGCAGTGGACTATGAAGAAATGCCAAAGGAAGAAAAGTACAAAAAATTAAGATGTATTTTCCATTGCTTCTCTTTTTACTTGAATCGGTTCCCAAGCAAGGCATCCATTTAATTTAAAGAATTCTTTGGAGTCCAACCACATTGATAGCCCGCATGAAGTGACTCCTAGAGGAAACATTACGTTTGTAATGTGCCTCTATTTCTGTAACCTATTTACCTCATAAAGCTTGACAGATGGCTATGCAGCACCGTCTCCAATTCATGAGGGCTCCTAGTGAAAACTCTTGTGCGAACATTACTAACATTATACACACATTTTTGCTGTGAGATGTTGGTGTGGAAGAGTATGTCTTAAAAGAGAAAGTGCTTTCTCTCAACATTATGAAGGTTATAAACCACTCTACATGCATTCAGTAACTTTTAAATACTGCCCAAAGGATGGTTGAAAAATAGGTATTTCAGAATAAGATTATCATAAATCAAACACTGAGAGTTCCAATGAAAAAACAAGATTACACAACACTTTATATACTCGTTGTTTAAAAAGGCTCAGTTTGAATTTTATGTGTATTCCCAAATACTATTGCATTAGTATAAATTGTGATCTTTGGTAGCCATTTTCCTTTCTCAACCTGTGAAACTGTAGTGAATAGAAATAAAACATACAAATTTGTCAGTGTAGGTGCTCAGGTGAGGGGAAAAGCACCGCTAATGATCTGAAGAAGAGTCAACAATCAAACTAGGGGCTATAAGTTAGCTTTAAATAAAAAATGGAACAGTGCCATTGCAAAATTGTTTTAATCCCACAATCCATGAACACACAACCCATGAACACACAGCATATATTTGGATTATACAGTTATTTTCATGTGTCATGTTATGATGCATGTGTGGAAAACTAAGTAGTCTGATAAACATATATGAGACATGTGAGATTCAGTAATTAAGAACTTGTGTTTCTTCCAAGTTTAAGCTATCACAAATTGTGCTGCTATGAACATGGGTGCACATATATCACTGTGGTATGATTCTTTTAATGTTCACAGAAGCATGATTCATCATAGCTAAAACTTGAAAGCAACCCAACTGCCCATCAACAGGAGATTGGATAAGGAAAGTGTGTGGGTTTTTTTTTTTTTTTTTTAATGAAATGGAATACTACCCAGCCATAAAGAATGAAAAACTAGAGATGTTTACAGCTAAATGGATGCATGTTGAGGTGATACTCTTAAGTGAAATAAATAGGACACACATGTAAATTCCGAAGTCTTTCTAGTGTAAGGAACTGAAAGTGTAAATAAGGACTAGATGGTATAATAGATAATGTGAGATAGGAAGAAAAGGTGCAAAGGGGGGAGGGGAAGTGGGAAGGGTAGGGAAAAGGAAAGAAGGGAGTGGAATTAATATGAGAAACAGAAAAAATGGAAACCAAGTGTTTGTAGATAAGGAGGCAGGGAGGGGTTGATGGGAGGGCAGGGTACTGGGGGGAAATAAGAACCAAGATGGATTATTAAAGGTACAAATTTCCAGTGATGAATGTCATTATATTGTATACCTTAAATATACCAATAAAATTAATTTAAAATAATTAAGAAATTGTGAACTAGAAGAAAAGTAAAAGAATTCATTCAAAAAAATAAATGCTATTCTCTATGCACCTTCACTTTGGCAGCCTACATACACTTTAATCCCACGAGGATGCCACTATAAAAAACTGAGTGCAAAATTTTCTTCTGTAATTCTCCCATAGCTTGAAGTAAGTACATATTGAAATATCTGTACAAATAAAATTAGATTTATGAAATAATACAGTACCCTTATATTGATAGCTAGATTAATACAGAGTCCTATTTGAATTTTTAAAGATACAAAGCTCTTTTTCCTGTCTGGCTTAGAACTAGAGTTAATCAGTAAGCTATATCTATGACTAGACAGGGGTCTCTGATGAGGATCCTACATTAAGAAATTTAGGGAAAGCATGTGAAACAAACAGTTGTCCAGAGTAACCTTCAAGACATTAATCCAATCTACCATTGAAGAAATCTTGACACAGAGCCATATTAGCTCGTCTTCCTGGCTGGAATGCCTAATGACTACCATCACTGGGTAGTCTTCCTGCCTAATGCATCTGATATTTCTATGAATGGCACGTGGGTATTGTGTCCTTGGTTGAGGAAAAGGTAAGTGGTCATGGTTATTGCAAGCTGCTCCTGTAGAAAATGCATAATGAGTTTGGGAGGTGATGTGGATGAAAGTAGAGATCATAATGATGAGCAAAATAAGCCAGATTCAGAAAGACAAAATTTCTACCATTCTAAAGAACATGACAAGAAAGTAGAAGGCAGATTATTATTAGATGAAAGGATGGAAAGAAGGCAGGTGTAGAATGGGTAACTGGACATGAAATGATCAAAATACATTATACACTTTGAGCCTCCCATGTAAAACTAGGCGAGAGGGTGGGACAAGGAGGGGAACGGGGACAGGATTAAAGCACGTGATGCACACGTACCAACTGCCAAAACGAGGTGCATCTGTCTCTATGATCAATATGACTAATAAAAATGTGGGAAAACCTCTAGTTTATGTTAAAAAATGAAAGACGGTGAAAAAAATAAATGAAGAGAACTCATATTTTAGAGATGACAATTTTATTTCAATGAGGAAATTGAGCAACCACTGAAGAGTGGAAAAGAGAGGAAAGAGCACATCTTCTGAGTGTTTTATTGAATCCATTAGCCACCAGGCTCCGATTTCAACATGGTGCATAACCACGTGTGTCATGAGATCCTTGGTGATGAGTGAGAGAAACAGCGGATAACAATAATACCAGCATATGGATTCAAAGCCTGGTACAAGAGCACTGGAAAAATAGCCTCTCTGACTGGGAAGAAGAAGCGTGAAAAAGAAACAGAGCTTGGCCCTCAGAATCAACTGTTCTACGTTCTATCAAGTGTAACATGGGCTTATCGAATCTGTACAGTACACACCCCTGAAAGTGGAAGACACTATAGCCCAGGAATGAACAGGAATCCCTGAAGTGCTAAAACATTTCAAAGTAATTAAATGAATGAGAAGAATTATTTAAGCAAAGCATATTAAGATTAAAATGAATTAACAATTTTACTCATGGTCAATTAGTTATTGTAAAATAGAGTAGGTAGACTTCCTTATTAATAGGCTAAAAAAATGACCTAGTGGTTGCTGCTGCTGGGAAACTCTCTGTGATGCCAGAGTCAATATAACAATTAATTTTCTAATAGAACTAAAAGAGGAATGAATAGAATGCTTTATAAACTTTTACATTGCTAGTGATTTTTCAAGCAAATTAAATCA